TTTATATAATATATATATATATATATATATATATATATATATATACATATACTATATCACTTTTCAGTCATAGGGTAGCTGCGATTTCCAGCGAATGGTGTTTGTTTGTGTATTCATTGTGTGTAATATAAAGAGAGCAAGAACCATTGGCGAGAGAGAAAATCTAAACAATCTGAATGCTGCTTTTCTCATTTCTTCTCTCTCAAGGTTTTAGCCTTGATGCAGACTAGCAGCACAGGTCACTCCCTGCCTTGTTTCACCAGCCCTTTTCGGTGGCTCATTTATAATGTCCTTGAAACTGAGTAACACTCAAATAAGAGTTTGTAATAACTGGGCATTTTAAAGAAGTCTGCTATTATGAATCAAGAATACTTCTCTCACTGTAACCACTTTTGCATGTGACATCTTGTCCTCGGGAAATATTTAAAATTTCAGTGTTTAATCAGTTTGAAAGAGCACTATGACCATAAAGGAGCGAATTCAGAAAATGAGGGTTTGCATTCACTAATTGGAGATAAAGAAAAATATTGCTAATTAATTAATGACTTACGGTCTCTGAGATTACATGACATTGAACTGAACTCTTGTTTGGAATGCAACGCAATACCACGTCTGATTTTAAATAGGTGATCTTATTAAACCTCTACATAATAAAGATGTTCTGTCAATTGTTTGTTCACCAGAGAAGTGGTGCTAGCGTGCAAGAAGGGCTTCTCATAATATGCTAACCTTTTTATGAAAAAGGAAAAGTAAACACTCTTCATTCGCTACTGTAAGTATTTTTACCCCTTGAATAGTCAATATTTCATAACTGTCAATGTAAAAAATTCTTCTTTGATTCAGTAACAAGGGTAAACGTACCTATTAAGCTCACGTACCCATTAAGCACACTTCCATATTTTAACTAGCTGGATTGTGTGACAAGCCATTTTGAAAGCTGTCTGAAAACTTTCACCAAAAGAGGAGGTCCTTAAATGTGCATTTTATGTTTAAGCATTTATTTTGGGTAAGTTTCATTACTTACTGTAAAATTAATAGATTTATGTATACCTGGAACTTGGATGTGGGAAATATTTAGAGTTAGATTCAAAAGATAGTTTTAGTAACATAGCGCAGATGCTACAGAACACAGTGAGCTGACTAGCTATATAAAATTGTGTGCTACGCTAATATTTTACTTCACAGGCATTAATGGCTTGTACTTTTATATCCATAATATTATGAATGTACAGTTTATTGCTGGTCTGTTCTGACACCAAAAGCACTAATAAACACTGCTGTAATTTTTAAAGATTTCATATTATTTTAAGGTGAGCTTAAAGGGTGTACTACTATGAAAAATAACACAGCTTCAGTGTAACACCAATAAGAAAACTTATAATTTCATAGATATTGTTAATAATAGTTGTTCATATTAAAATATGTATGAACTTAATACATGACCTAGATTATTTATTTAGCAAAATCTTGTCATTTTAATAAATAGTACATGAAATTTATAAAAAATTGTTGCTGCTCCAGTTAAGCTCAGTCTGCTCTCTTTACAACGGTTAGCTTATAATAATGATTTCTAATTTGAGTGGTATGGGTAGGTTTTCGTGGGAAATTCAAGCATGCCGCTGTGTCATTACGTCACGTCTGTAAACATAAAGAAGTTGTCCCGGCTACTAGGCTATCGCATGTGAGGATCCTGCAGGTGGCCGATCGTTTATAGCCTTTTCTCACAGCAGCCAGAATAATTAAATGTATCATTTTGATGGCGGATTATAATCCATAAAGGATTATGTGTTTATGAAACACATGTGAATGAAATTAAATTATATTCCAGTTATAAATGTGCTTCTGATTACAGATAGCCTGGGATTACAAAGATTTGTATTTTAAAGAAAACCAGTTCGAAGGGAGCATAATTTGCTTTTTGGGTTAGAAGAATTTCTTAATATGAAATTCGAAGAGTATGAAAATTAGATTAGACTGTGCAGAAATATACAATATACATGAAATATACACGCTAATACACACTATACCCATAGTCACCAATGCTGATGTTGTTAACATTAATAATTTCAGAATAAAGTATATAAAGTACAATAATAATAATTTGAATGGTTTGATGTGATATGAGCTAACCGATCTTTAGATTTAATCACCATTGGTAGCAAGATTTATGGTAATGCTTTTTTCCTCAGTTGGTCAGAACAAACGTGGCAGATTTGTTTCTTACTTGTTCAGATGGCAATATACGGTGAAAATTCTTATTTGGGTCGTATTCCAAGACGTAGGCTAGAATCTGTGATTGCGAAGTACAGTAAATATCCATACCGGTGCGGTGACTGACTGCCACACATACTCTTCAGAACATTAGATTCATCCGAGCTGTGCCGCCGCACAACCCAGCCAAGGAAGATAATTCTGCACACAGCTGCAATTCCAGGTTTTCAAAGAGAGATGGCGACAAAGAGGCAAAACTTACGGACTGCAGCTTTAAATATAAACTGATGGTTGTCACTATAAGTTAATCTTTATAAAATGATTAATAACTTATTTTAACAGCTTTAAGTTTACAAAATATAAACGTAACTATAGTTTATGCCCAAAGATGAAAGAGGCATGTCGTCCGTACAAAGAAGGGGCCAACAGAAATCTGTCATATCTGTCTAGGAAAAAGCAACTAAAGGCTGGAATACACTGCATGGCTTTTGAAATTTGAACAGAGTTTTAAAACACCATGGCATCATACACTTACAGACTTTGTAAATAGTCACAAAGGAACACTGGGCATCATACATTAAACGACTGAGGATGATACACTGCCAGACTTTAAATTCCTTCCGATCACAACAAACGCGCACAGAAATGTGCACGTT